GTGAGACTTACTGCCTATCCTTATCCCTCCCTTTCAAACTCAGCTGGCGGGAGGCCAAGCCATCTCCGGGGTAGGGGGGCAGAGCCAAGCACTTGGCAGCTCCTAGCACTGTGAGGCCCTCATCAGCCACTCTCCCAGGGGCCCTGTTTGGGCTAGAGAGCCCAGCCAGCTCTCTAGCTCTGCTGAAAGGAGTCCCCCGCAACATCTGCTTGGCCTATCTGGGGCTATTCAAGCACAACTTCCTCTTCTGCCTGTGCTCATCTAGGAATTGGGTTCCAATGAGCTGGAACTTGGTGCTTTTGCCTGAAGTTTTGACAAGTTATTGTTTCCTGGCAGCAGCCAAGATGGAGCTGTGACCTCCATCTGGGTTAATGAGTGGAAGACTCACCATGTGCCTACCATGTTGTCCCAGTTCATTGTCCTGCTCCAAGGTGCTAATAAACAAGGTTACACCTCATATTGGTTGCACAGCCTCCTCCTTGGATACCATTGCATACCCTCAGTCACAGCAAGCCTCAACAGACGTAGACCAAGCCCCTACTCCTTGCTAGAGAAGGAGAAAAATGGCAACATCAGTGCAGCGAGCTGTCAGAGGGATGTTAATAAAGTAACTCTCATATTCTCCATGGCCCCCACTCCTGGGAGATTTGGTTAAAATTCGTCCAAAACTTAATTCCACAGACTTGCAAGAATCCCAAGCTGTCCCCAGAATTGCTGTGAACTCCACCTATTCCTCACATGTCTCTTAGCTTTGGAGCTCTGAATGCACCTGCATGTGGCTTCAAATTCCACCCCCATCAAGCTGAACAAAAACCCATTACTTAAAAGAATTTCCAAAATAAACCCACTTGTCTGAAACACTTTGAATTCAGTGACTTTACTGAAAGCTTTGTGATCACAGGAAGGGGTACATCGCAGGGGCTTTGGGCTGGTCTTCCTGTGTCCCACCAGCTTCAATCCTGCGCTCACCTCCCATCTTCTTCTTCCTTCCCTCTTGGGAGTAACTCCCAGTTCTGTCTCCCTCTCCATGGGCTTTCTCACATTCAGGCCGAGGAAGACTGGCTCCCATCACTCATTCCCAAAGAGACCTTTTTTAATATTCTCCTCTCCCAAGAGTGTGTGTCTGTCCTTAAGAAATTCTCATAACAGCTGCCAAGAAAATAAAATATCCTCTAAAACATCACATCATAAAGCTGCATGTTCACCAGAGAAGTTCCTCAGACAAAGATGAATAAACGTAGAAAAGGGAGCTCTGGAAATGAGACTACTTCCAATATTAAGAAGATGCCTGGCTGGGCACAGTGGCACCCATGTGTAATCCTAGCATTTTGGGAGGTGGAGGTGGGAGAATCACTTGAGGTCAGGAGTTCGAGATCAGCTTGGCCAACGTGGTGAAACCCCATCTCTACTAAAAATACAAAACTTAGCCAGGCATGGTGGCGGGCACCTGTAATTCCAGCTGCTCAGGAGGCTGAGGCAGGAGAATCACTTGAACCTGGGAGGCAGAGGTTGCAGTGAGCCGAGATTGCGCCATTGCACTCCAATCTGAGCAACAGAGTAAGACTCTGTCTCAAAAAAAACAAAAAAACAAAAAAGAAGACGATGAAGATGCCTGAGATGCCTGGCTACTAAATGCAGAATTAAATGAAGAGAGAACTCGGGAATTCGGTGTCAAAACGACTCTTTTTTGCCCAAGCATTGATGAGACAGCTGAAGTGAGAGTCAGAAGCTCACCCCCTAGATGGGACCCCAAGAAATTTCTCTCTAGCCAGAGTCTGACATCTTTGTTCCATGTTGACGACAAAGATCTGAGCTCCAAAATCCACCCCCGCCCCCAAGTCACTGTGGTTTCTCCAGGCCAAGAGGGGCGAAGACCGGGCAGGCACAGGTTACAGGGCTCCTCTGAAGAGTTGACTAGCGGCCATTCATAGGCAGGAGAGCTCCTTCTCAACAAAGTCTGTTTGTTTCCCCCAAGAGCCTGGGGAGTCTGTGCCAAGACAGAATGACTCATTGGCTCCCAGGCCTTGCCTCACTCTGGGAGACACTCAGCCAGGCCCTTCTCCCCGAAGAGCAGCAGGGCAGCCTCCATCTGGCTCCAGGCCGATGTGGGTGCTACACAGTGAGCTTAAAAACTCAACGTGGAGAAGGGTTCAAGTGTGAGTCTTTCAGCCTCACCCCTCATGCAGGATTCCTGTGTCCATGCGTGACGACTTTCTTCAAGGGTTCAAATATGATCAGTTTAAAAGTGAGTGTGATTCCCCTCCACAACCCCGCTCATCTGAAAATCTCTCACTCATGGCCAAATTTGAATGCAAAAGTGTGGAAACTAACGTTGGGTCCAAAACAGCCTTTGCAATATTTTAGAAGTTTCCAGAAAAGCTTTATCCAGGAGAGAAATTTCTTTCTTCAGAGCAGTCAAAATCAGTTATTGACACAAGTTAACATAACTCATCAATGAAAAACTGGATACAAATCCAACTAGTTATCCTAACAGCTTCAAACTCATAGTCGATTATATCAAGATTATACTTGCTACTGACTTCAGAGGATGGTTATGAAGAGTAAATAAGAAAACGATGACTACAGAGACAGGCCAAAGCAATGCTCTCAGTAACTTACAAGTATTATCTGACTCCATCCTTATCATCTCTGTCACAGGTCTCCAGAAACTGCATGCATCTTTATGCGATTTTGAGGAATCTGAACCTGGAGAACTTAAGTGGTCCAAGTTCACAAAACTAATAAAAATCATACTAATGACAGGCACAAGTATCATGCCTGTTATCCCAGCACTTTGGGAGGCCGAGGCAGGCAGATCACTTGAGGTCAGGAGTTCAATACCAGCCTGACTAATATGGTGAAACCCCATCTCCACTAAAAATACAAAAATTACCCAGGCGTAGTGGCGGGTGCTTGTAATCGCAGCTACTCGGGAGGCTGAGACAGGAGAATCGCTTGAACCTGGGAGGCGGAGGTTGCAGTGCGCCAAGGTCACACCACTGAGCTCCAGCCTGGGTGACAGAACAAGACTCAGTCTCAAAAAAAAAAAAAAAGAAAATTAACACAGCAAATAAGTAGGACGATAAGATAGTAAAAGGTGAGCACCACTCAGCGACTTAGAGATGCAAAAATGTTTTAGTGGCCAGTGCTTTAGAAGCACATATATTAATTGGCAATGCATATGCTAATTATAAAGCTAGCTTATCAGTTCGGTAAAAACTGTTTCCACAGGTCCTTCATCACATCAACCCCCAGACAAGGTATTTCCTAAACAGAAAAGTATGAATCTGCAGGTAATCTTGATTAGTTTTTCTTATGTTTCCTCCCAGCAAGAGAGATGTCACTTAGTCATTCAACAAATAAATTTATTCAGCGCCTCCTTTGGGCCATGCGCTCTGTTGAAGCTGGGAATAAAATCGGTAATGGAAAGAGACAGAACTTACAATTCAGGACAGGGCGTATCAAACTCAGCACTGGTGACATTCCAGGTTGGATCATTCTTTGTTGGAGGACCCTGTTCTGAGCGCTGAGGGGATGTTTATCAGCTTCCCTGGTCTCTAGCTACTAGATGCCAGTAGTGTACCCCAAGAGGTGACAACCAAAAATGTGTCCAGAAATTTGTCAAACGCCCCCGGCGGGGCAAACTCACTGCAATTGAGAACCACTGCAGGAGAGGAGGAGAGTCATTAATCAAACACGGACAGTTGTCAGCACAAGGAACTTGAAGGACCAGCCCCAAACTCAGTTTTCTTGGTAGAAGTGATGTCTAAATGGAAATGCTGGCCCTAGCAGAACTAGGCAGAAGTAGTAGTTTGGAAGGTGAGAGAGATGGGTCTTGGAAACATGTCTGAGGCAGAGAAAACAATGAGACCCAAGGCAAGGAGGGAAGTGTGATTCTGATTTGGGGTCTGTGTTGTTTAACATACATATCCGTGCTGTGGATAAACACTAAAGGCAGCATTATTCAATGTACATTTGGTGCAATACAGAGAGAAATGCATTTCAGGAGGTTTATACAAGCTAGAACCATGGGCCAAAGTTTTAATGCACTAACAAGATCAAATGCAAACTTCTACACTATGTGCCTCCCCATAAATCCAGCCATTAAAGAATGGAACCCTTGGCTGAAAGGCAGGACTTTTAAAAGGCTTTGAGTGGAAATCAGTGGATCTCACACTCATTCATGCATGAGAAACCTCTGCAGGGCTTCTTAAAGCACAGATGGCTGGATACCAATCCCAGTGTTTGTGATTCAGGAGATCTTCGGAGGAGTCCGAGAATTTGCATTTCTAACAACTTCTCAGGTGATGTTGAAGGGGCTAGTTTGGGCATCAACTTTTGAAAACCACTGGTATCAGCTTTAGTTTTTAAAGATGTTAATGGCAACAAGGTCACATTAATAGAGATAGAGTGTCTAGTCCAAGAAGGTGAGAACCTCAATACCAAGAGAGTACACTGGCATGCCAGGAAGAACGCTAAGCATCACATTTTAAGGGATCCTTGGTAAACCAAAAGGTGTCTAGAGAAGAGTAAGAAAATGTGGGGCATTTGGCCTAGAAAAAAAGAAGTTATGGGAAGAATGTGGGAGCTGCCGTTAAAGAGCTGAGGGACTGTACCATGAAAAATGGATTTGATTCCATTTTTATTCTCCAAGTTTGACCATGGTAGTTCAAGATAGGGACAGTCAGCGGGGGTAGGAGTGCCAGGGATAAAGGTTTGGGCTCAACATGAAATGGAATCTTGTAACAATTGCAGCTTTTGTGCAGCACTATTCAATAGAAAAATAAGACGAGGCATACATAACAATTGTCTAGCAGCCATATTACAAAAGTAAAAAGAAACAGGTGAAATTAATTTTCATAATACCTGTCATTTAACCTAGTCCTTCCAAAAGGCTGTCTCTTTGACATGTGATCGGTATTAAAATTATTAATGAGAGAGTTTACATTCATTTTCTCTTTGTACTCAGTTCTAACCTAATGTGTGCTTTACATCTTCAGCACACCTGCATCCAGACCGACCACCACTGTTCCTGCACTCCGCGGCAGTAGCCACAGGTGGCTTGGAGCTCCAGCATTAGACAGCAAAGCTCTAGTGATTTAGCCAGCATGAAATAAATGATTCCTCATTCTCATCAGTTGCTCTGTTCTGTTACTGACTTTGGGATTTAATGGCACTGCTATTCCCTTAATACATTCCTATTTTAACATGAATTCCCGGTAGGTTTTACGTATATTTTGAGAATTTTATGACACATTTTAAGGTATCTCAAGAAAACCTGGGGCACCCTAAATAGAGATGGTAGCAAGATTCCTGGCTGTAAGTGACAGGACACTGTATTCAACCTGCCTTAAGAACATAACAAAATAATTCATTGGTTCTCATTTTGAAAAGTCCAACAGCAACACTGGTTTCTGTCTTGGCTTGGCTGTATCCAGACATAATCGAGTTACCAGCGTCTTCTATGGCTCCAAAATTCTCTTAATTCTGTGTTTGCCTTCATTCGGTGGATCCCCCTGACACAGAAGTATGGCCACTGGAAACTCCAGCCATAAATCATCTGTACAATGAGCATTCCCTGTAGAATAAGCTTCTTTTTTCACATAGTTCCAAAGAGTCCTAGATTTGAAGCTCATTGGCTTGAATTAGCAGTGCACTGATTATCCCTGAATCCAAGCATTATGGACTAAGCATTTGGTCAGGGTTGAGTCACCTCTGGAGCCAGGATTCTAGAAGGTCAGACTCATGCAAACCTCAAGAATGGGGTAAGAGGGATGGGTTTCCTAGAAGGAAGGGAAGGGGGAATTAATACTCGTTCACCAGAGATGGACACAAATGACAGAGGACAATGGGTCATTTTGTCCTGGATTGTGACAATTGCCTTTTGAGGAGATCCAGTTTTATCTTTACTGAGAAGGCACTCTTTGGAATTTCGTAGATGTGGAACGCAATTTAAGGCCCTAATCTTAAGTATTAAGGTCACAATGGGAGTCTTCCTTTGCTTTGTCAAATCTGCTTGAAGAAGTCTTGTCCCATGTGGCTGAATGTGCGTGACAGACTGAGATCAGAATTACTCCCTGGCGTCTGAAAAATATATTTCACTTTACAAAATTCTCAGGAAATATAGAAGAGTGAAACTTGGACCAACTGGGCTGCAATATATTCTTTCCCTTCCTTCCCCCAAACAATGAGCTTTCAACCAAGACAGTGACTAGATTTTGCACCAAAGATCTCTACGGTGAAAGATGTGAAAAGTCTGACAAGACTCCAAGTCTGACTTTTTCAGATCCCAGAACACCCAGAACACAAACAGGATGATGCATTTCATCCGAATACCTGCAGCCCATGCTCACAGGCATTCTTTGTATCAGTTCCTCACTTCGGCTTTACCCGCTAAGTTCCTCCCATTGAATTCAGGTTCCTCAAAGCTATGCACTTTCCCTGCTCACAGATACCTAAGAGCTTCTCTAATTCATCTAACAATCTAGACAGGGTCGTGGACTGATGCTTGAAATCTTTATGTGTGCAACAAATTTGGAGAAAACAGAGGATTCCAAAAATTGACCAAGCCAAAGGATCTTTAGGGACAAGGTATCTTTTGTTATATAAAATAGGATATTTTATCTCAAACTAAGGTTTCATTAGAAATAGCAGTGACCAAGAAACATTAGTTACAATCAGGCTGGGCGCGGTGGCTCACGCCTGTAATCCTAGCACTTTGGGAGCCTGAGGTGGGTGGATCACCTGAGGTCAGGAGTTCCAGACCAGCCTAGGCAACATGGCAAAACCCCACAAAAAATAGCCAATGTGGCAGCACGTGCCTGTAATCCCAGCTACTCGGGAGGAAAAGGCAGGAGAATTGCTTGAACCCCGGAGGCGGAGGTTGCAATGAGCCCAGATTACGCCACTGCACTCCAGCCTGGGCGACAAGAGTGAAGCTCCATCTCAAACAAAAAGATAAAGAAATATCAGATTCAATCTGGTAGAGTTTCCCCTGCAAGATTCCACTTTACACGCTTAATTTGTGGGCTCCCATTCTTCCCTCTGGAGCCCCCAAAACTTTGTTGGCTCTTCCCCTCGAAACTCCACTTACTGATTTGTTCGGCATTTCACCTCCTCTCTGCACGCACCTGAGGCTGTGGGGCAACATAGCTTAATGGAGTTAGACCATCATGGACTCAAATCTCAGCTCCGCCACTCTTTAACCATGTATCTTGAAAGTTCTTAAACTTTTCTGGGTCTCAGTTTCTTCCACCATAAAGAAAATAAAAATCTCATCTTGGGTTGTTTTGTAAAAAGATATGAACTAACGTATGTAAATGACATGGGGCACAATGTCATATTGCTCAATAAATAGTAACACTGTATTATTATCACATTGTACTCCGGTTACTTGTTTATAAGTCCATGTTCCCCATTAGACTCTGGGCTCCTCTAGGAGAGGGACTGCGTCTTATTAAATTCTATGTTTCAATCCAGAGTGTTAAGAAATACATGTTTATTGAAATAATAGCATGAATAAATGAATGAATGCATACAGATGAAGACACAGTTCACGGCCAATCTCTAGGGAACAGTGGCCCTGCAATAATAATACTATGTGAAACCCTTTCATTTTCATTTGAATATTGAGCACCATATTAGCCCGAATCACATGGAATGTTTCTGAAGAAACATTGTCCATGGTCAGTGGAGTGACATCACATGATTCAATCTCATTAAGAGCTATGAGTCTTGAGTTAATTTTCAATGTATTTCAGATATCACCACATGATTAATTGTATTAAACATCTTGCTGGTCCACCTCCTTCCAACCACACTGAGCAGGCAGAGACTGAAAATCAAAATAACAGTGTTTGTAAATGGAAAATGCCTGCTTGTAAATCAAGCTGTAAGTATCACAGGCCCTGAAACCTCACAGTTGGCTTTCTGAAATTCAACCCCTTCCCCACACCCTGTTTTAGAACTAGAGAACCTACCTGTGTATTTTCAACTTGTGAGCAGACACACGCTCATCCCACACTGCAGTCTACTAAGCAGCATCATTTCAGGTATGTTTAAACCTGAAAATTTGACTCAGGCAGTGGGTATCCAAATTATCTCTCAGCCCAATTGACTCAGAGGCAGCCTGGCTGGGCCAACTCCCTTATAAAAAGTAGTCTCTTACTTGGATTCAAAAACCTCCTTCAATACATGATGTTAATCTCGTCCTAACCATATTTTGTAAATACGAAGGCTGGTTCAGTGGCCCCACTGAGACCGCATTTCCCAATAATGAGGAAAATGGCATTTACAGGAAGGTCTGAAACTTTCCTTCAGTAGCCTGCATTTTTGCTAAGCCCCGTATGAAACCTCCATGTGGGCATGACTAATGGATCCACCTAATTAAATTTTTACAGCATTCCAGGGCTGGAGTGTCAAATGTTTGCTTCCAGCTTGAATCCTTGTAACATTGTCAAGTCAGTCTTCCATCCCATCCCCCTCCCACACACACCTTTTTTAGGGGCTGTGGGCTGCATTCCAACGTCATAGGAAATCAGAATTTGCTTGATGAGGATGAAGCCAAGGATTGCCAAGTAGTTTTGGCAAGTCAGCCTCCCTTCACCTATTTAGAGAAGTTAAAAGAAGCAAAAATGAACAAACAAACAAAAAACACAAAGCAACAACAAAAACCCTCTCCAGCCAGGGTAGATTCTATACAAGAAGTTGAAAAGGTCATCTCTCATGGATAAGGAGATATTCACTGTTGTTTGCAAATCCTTGCTGCAAAAGACCATAGTCTGCATTTGGCAAGATGGAATGTTAACTCTGAAAGCGTTCTTGAATTCGGTGGATTCTACAGTCTTCAGAACAAAAGGGATTTGCTGAGTGTCATCTGTAATACATGTTTTGCTATTTTTTGTTATTTCATTGGTTTCAGAGAAGAAACATGCAATTAAACCATTTGCTATCTCTTTACTGAAAGGTGAGGGTTTATCACAAAATGGGTTGATAATTTGAGAATGTGTCCAGAGTTGCTCAGCTAAATGAGGAAATAGAATCCAATTTTTGCACTGAATGACTCTCAGACTCAGCCAGGTCACTGCCAGTTCCAAGCTGCGTGCCTCCCCACTGACCATCATAGAACATGTTGGAGGTGCCTTCTTGAAGATAGATGCTCAGAAAGGACACATGGCAGTCAATCCTTGCAGTCTCTAAGCCAGAGATTCTCCAAGTGCCATCCACAGCCAGAGATTCTCCAAGTGCCATCCACATCATATACATTTCGAACGACCTGGGGAGCTTGTTGAAATGCAGTTCCAAATCATTCCAGTCTGATTCTCCAAGTGGAGACAGAGACTCCATACGCTTGTCAAGGTGCTCCCAGGCACGCTCCAGAGTTTGGAGGTCCAATGCTCTGGGGTTGCTGGAAAGGTCACAGCCAAATTGCCAACCCACAAGGGGGCTGAAGTTGCAAGTGACAAGCAAGTCATGGAGTAACTAAGGCCAGAGGGAGACACTTTCCAGGGAACCAGGGCACAGGCACAAGGAAATTGTTGTTTACATCCAGGTTTAAAGTCTCCGTGGACACATAGAGGTTCACCCCACCCCCAAAAGACCCCAGAGATGATTCTTCTGATCTAAGACTGCAGGAATTAGTTGTAATAGGGAACCTGCTTCTGATATCCGTCTTTTATTCTCTCTTCCCCTAACAGTCCCACCCTCTACACACGTACTCAAAAATATACTTGGGCAAACACTCAAATGAGTCCACATGCACAAACTTGCACCTACCTGCTTGACAACATATATGTTTGCAAACATACCTGTTGCCCACATGGTGTAACACAGAGATACTGTACCTTGCCTCTTGCTAAGACAAACTGCTCTCCCATCAAAAGATTTTTCTTTTTAATTTATCTTAGAAGAAAACACTAACCATAAACTATTCAGAAAATCATATCCCTCCATGACCTCCATCCTAATGTGAGAATCTGCTAACTATACAACCAATGAGTGACTAGAGTCAGGGTAAGATGAAATTGTCAGACATTTATGATACAACCAGCAGGATTCCTTGGAGACCATTTCTCCTGGCCCTGACCCTGGGATGAGCCCAGTACCATATTGGACAAAGCGATAGTGTATAATAAGGTC